TGCTCCATCAGCAGTTATAAAGTACTTTATAAGTTAGGCTTATTTGAACTTCACAGTTCCCTAGCAAGGTAGGTATGAATCCCATTTTATGGAGGAAGACATGAGACCTGAAAAGTTATTGAATTTTCCCATGTCACAGTACTAAGGGACAAAGTTAGATTTCAAATCCAGTCTGTTTGGTTCCAAATTCAGAACTTCCCCATCATTTTGTTTTATTTTCTGATTATGATTAATATTAGAAATTGGATGTCTTCCTGTCCTTTGTTGTTGTTGTTAAGTGCCGTCGAGTCGATTCCGAACCATAGCAATCCTGTATAGGGTTTCCAAGGAGCAGCTGGTGAACTTGAACCACCAAACTTGCCGTTCAAACTACTTTGCAGTCTGGCGCATTAACCCACAGTGCCACACCAGGACTCCTTAGATTGGAGTTTTTGAGTACACAAGCAGGATTCGTTCCTTCTGAAACATTCAGCATTTTAACTGGAGGACGAATTGCAGAATGTGGATGCCACCTAGATCATTATCAACTCAACTGTTACCATACCCCTCTGGTTTGCTGTGAGTTGTTTTTTTCAGTTGTGTGGAGTGAGTAGGAGGTATTAAGGAGTAAGGGTCATATAGGGTTTCTGAGGAGTGGCAGATGGGTGTAAATTACCCTCCTTCTGGTAAGCAGCTACAGCATCACACCAGGACTGCAGGCTAGTCCTAGGACTTTGTTTAATGTTAATGTTATGGTTAGGACTATGGTGAGTGTTAAGGGTAAAGATTGGGCTAGGACTAGAAGTTAGAATCCTGGTGTGGCACTGTAGGATAAACACTAGACTGCTAACCATAAGGTTGCTAGTTCAAACTCACCAGTCACTCCTCAGAAATACTATAGAAGGTCACTATGAGTTAGAACCAATTCAAAGGCATTTAACAAGGAATACGTCTTGGTCTAGTTTTTAGGGTTGCAATTAGGTTTATTTATTTTTATTTATTGAAATCTATTTGATTTTCTCTTCATATGGAAGTTCTGTAACTACATTAATCCCTCTTTCTACTTTATTTTGTGTGTGTGTGTGTATGCATGTGTATTACAATTGTATCTCTGCTTCTCTATTTTCAGTCTTATAGATCTGCTTTACTTTGCATACTTCTATATCTTGGTTGAGTTTAGGAGATAGTGTCACCTATGTTCGTCTTAGGTTTTTGTCTACTTTTGTTGGTTCTCTGTCCAAAGAACTCCCTTTAGTATTTTGTAAGATTGGTCTGGTTTTTACAAATTATTTTAATTTATATTTGTCTGAAAATGACCTACTTTTGCTGACATATTTGAAGAACAGTTTTGCTAGGTATATGATTCTTGGCTGGCAATTTGTTTCTTTTAGAGTTTTATAAGTATCATTTGATTGTCTTTTTGCTTGTATGGTTTCTACTGAGAAATCAGAGCTTCATCTTTTTAATTTTATGTTTTAGATAACTTTTCATTTTTCCAGAGCTGCTCTCAGGATTCTTTCCTTGTCATTGGGTTTGAAAAGTTAGATTATAATATGTGTTGGTATTTTTCTCTAGGGGTTAGTCCTATTTGGAGTTCATTCAACGTCTTGAATGGCTCTCTTCTCTTCTTTCATGATGTTAGGGAAGTTTTCTTTCAACAGCTCTTGGACAATAGTCTCTACTTTTTTTTTGTCTCTTCCTGTTCTAGAATTCCAATCACGTGTAAGTTATTCTTCTTGGTAGTGTCCCACATAAATCATAGGCATTCTTTGTTTGTTGTTGTTGTTGTTGTTGTTGTTGTCCTTTTTAAAATTGTTCCTCAAGTGGATGATTATTGACAGTTTTTTTCTTCAAGCTCAGTAAGTCAGCTTTCCACTGATATAACTTTATTTCTTTGTCTTTTCAATGTATAATCCATTTCTGAAGTCTTGGTGTTAATCTTATACCTTTCTAATTGCTGTTTCTTATATAGTTCCCTTTAAAAAAAATTATTTTGTCAGTTTGTTTCCTGAATTTTCCCATAATTTTGTCTATGTTGATATCATCTGTAGTTTTCTCGGTCTTTTCCACAATCTGTTGAAGATGGTTAATTAGCATTCTTTAAAATTCCTTGTCAGGTAGTTCTGGTACAAGTTTTGGTACCAGAACTACCTGACAAGGAATGATATTTTCTGAATCTGTATTTTGGCCACTTGTTGAGGCATTCTGTCTTGTTTCTTTGTGTAAGCTAAATCGTTTCTTTTCTCTACAACACTGTGGTGTCATATTTATATTTAGTTGATGACTGTATATTGATGTGATCTCAGACACTCACCGCCTGTCTCCTGGTGGATGTGGTAGAGACTGGAAGTTTGAAAGCAGTTAATTCTCTGTTCACTGTTTGGGTAGCATAGTTCAGGGTGAGTCCACATGCCTCCAAAAGCAATGGCACTATGTCAGTTGCCAGCCCCCGTGCAGAGCAGAGGTATGCAGGAAGGGTGCCCACTGGCTGCCGGGTTGGTGAGGGCAGGGACTGGTTACACCCCTGGTTACCAGGAGAGCATGGGAACCAGGGAAAATTGGACCCCGTTGCCGACAGCCTCCAGCTGCATCTTGTGCCTGCAAGACACTATATCAACAGCTGCAAAAAACTCAAGATGGCCGCACTGCCCAAGCCAGCCCACAGTCCACCCATTTATTTTCCCTTCTCCTTTTCAGCTTCCTCTTCCAGTTGGCACTCAGTCCACTTCTCTGCTCTATCCTCTTATACTCAGGGTTCCAGGATCACCATCTGTGTCTGTTTCACTTCATTTCCCACGTCTTTATTGCAGAGGGTTTGCTCAATGCATCTACTTACTTTGCCATCTTGCCTCAGACTCTATGCGTTTTTAAAGGATGTTAAAGTTGCCATTTATGGAGCTCATTCTAGCTGCCAGGTCCTGTTCCTTTATATGCATCATCCTACCAAATTCACATACCATATCTCTAAGATAGGTTTTATGAGGCAGTAGTGGCTCAATGGTAAAATTCTTCCCTTCCATGTAGGATGCCTGGGTTCTGTTCCTGGCAGTGCACCTCATGAGCATCCACCACCTATCTTCAGTGGTGGATTCTGTGTTACTATGATGCTGGGTAGGTTTCAATGGAATTTCCAGACAGGATGAGTCGTGAACAATGGCCTAGAAACGTGCTTCCAAAATCAGTCTGGGAAAACCTATGGAATACAATGGCCCAATCCAAAACTTATCATATGAATGGCACAGGATTGGGAGACTATTGTCATGGCATCACCATGATTTGTGGGTCTCACAGTGGAAGCTAACGACAAGAAGATATATATTATTTTTGCATTTTATGGATAAGGGAACTGAGGTTCAGAGAAGTAGAATAGCTAAGAAACAGATTCATGCCTAGTTGTGGATCTTCTACACTCTTCCCCCCAGCCCCTACCCCCCAGCCTTAGACCCCACCTTTTCTGTTGGGCAAAAGAGATAATTTAGACCCTTTAGTCATTGTCCCAGGAAGTTGGTACCCTCTCCCTTTGTGAATAGACAATGGAGAATTAACCAAGGAAAGCAGGGTTCCAATGAGGGTCAAAGGAGAAGGGTACAGTGTCAGACAGACTGAAATGCATACTTTACTACACAGCTACTAAAGGGGTTTTGATATAAGGCTTCTATGACAAGTTCAAGTCAATATTCCAGGCACAGCATGGCATGAAATGCGGTTACTATTTAGCTCTACAAGTATCTCACAGGATCATTCCCACAAGATGAAGAATCTGTCTGTGATTTTTATCTTTATCAACTTCTGAGGGGTCTGTTTTCTGCCCTTCCCATACTCCTCCTTCCCCACTCCCCCAGTGTGTTGGCAGGAGCCAAGAAACCCAGCTTGTCCTCTTACAAAGGGAAATAGTGTTATAACTAACAATGTTGACAACGGGTGGTAGCTTTTTTCTAATTCAGAGCTAGATCACCAAGATCACAAGTTGTAACTAAGTCTTAGGTGGCTGTTTGCCACCTCTTCCTGAGTGGTCAACTCAATGAAGTAGTAAGTCTGAAGTGGTTTCTCTGAGGTTTCAAACTTTGTTCACTTGCCACCATAGACCTATGTAGGCAATCAGGAGCAGATGCTTGATTTGAATGAGGAAATTCTTTATTTAGTAAGGCTGTCTTGAAGTGAACTGATCTCCATGAGCAGACTTCCCCATGGTCCAGATCCTATGCATGTTGATTTCTAAGCAAGATGATCAGCAACACAGCAAGTAGGCCAATCACAAATAAATCCCAGTGTGGTCCAAGGGCATTATCCAGCTTCACCCATTTCCATCTCATTGTAAACTGCAGGCAAGAGACACTCTGTCAGAAGAAATTCTGAGCCACTCTGCCCTTTCAAGACCACCATCTCCTCCCCCACTTCATCCCTAAGAACACTCAGATTCCCCCTCAACCTTAC